TGTGCCAATCACCGTTTGTTGCTTCCTATCAGAAAGAAAACTACGGAACAATGTAAGTTCGATGTTTTCTATACCAATATATTCGAATTTTTTTAGCATTATTTCCCTGTCGATTGTCTCGAAGGCTCTCTTAAGGTCCACAAACACCGCCAAGATAGTTTTCTTGGAGTTCAGGTCGTCCTTCCAATGTGATAAGATCAAGTTTAGAGCTGTTTCGCATGAGTTATTAGCCCTAAAACCTGACTGCTCCTTAATGAGTATTTTATTTGACTCAATATAGTTTAATAGTTTCCAGTATTTTTTCTATGTTGGGAAGGGTGTTTATTGGCCTGAGCTCCTCCGATTTTATGGTGTCTTTGACCTTTTTTATAGGGACATTGCTCGAAGTTTTCCATTCTGTCGGAACTATTCCCAACTGAAGGCTCTTATTTACTAATAGGGCGTAAAAGTAACCCATGTATTCAACGGAGTCTTTGATTACACCCTCGGATAATAAATTATTTCCACCAATTTTTATCTTGAACTTTACTATATGGATAATATCATCTGTACTAATCTCACAAAATTTAAAGGTCCCTCGATCATTTTCCTGTTGAATCGGATCATAATTAATGTTTTTTATATTCCTATTTATATCGATGATACTATCAACAAAGAAATTGTTTAACTGGTCAGCGATTTCAGTACTATTGCTATATATTTTACCGTTGATTCGAACCTCTTTGATATTTTCTTTGTGATCCGCATTATTGACAATATTCTTCAAATGTTTCCACATTAAACGACTGTCACCTCTATTAATTTCCACCTTGTATTCCATATATTGTATTTTTCTAATTCTAATCATTTTTTTTATACGCTTTCTTTATTTCATTGTATTCTACCCAATCACCAGTGATCACTGCCCTTTGGTGTAACCTATATTTTTCTTTATTAGTTTCATTCAATTGTCTGTCATACCATTTATTTCGGATTTTGACCCGCTTTTGTACACGAGAAGTTAGTTTTTTCATACTCGAAATCAAACAGTTATTAATATGTTCGAGCATACCATCAGGACTGAGACTATTCAGGTCAGCGTAGGTGCATTGTCGCAAAAGATTTATAAGGTTGTCTGGGCTGTACCCATCCCACGATGTTATTTCAGACAGTTTACTGATAGGGCTTTGTTTTTTTATATCGCATTTGAACATTATAGTTTCATGATCCGATATTCTATGTTCCTCCGCTTTTTCACATGACACTACCTTTGCGTTCGAGTACAATAAGTCGATCAGTGTTTCGGAATATTCAGTAACCCTAGTATTAAAGTTAATTAACAGTTTCATTGCCTGATAGGCGAATATCTCATTCAGTTTCTTACTATATGTCGACATTATATTCAGGTTAATATTAAAATTGTGGCGGTTTAGTAGGTGAACACACCCAAAACCAGACGGCAGCATCATCGTCCGAAGACTGGCAACACTTATTATTTTACCATGGATTAAACCGTCTGGCAGCACCGCGAAAAAGCGATCTGTCATTATGTAGAATTTTCTTTTCTTTCCGTTTTGTGACACCACCACCACCAAATAAAGCAAGTATCTTGTAAGTTAAATCCGATTAAATAAACGTTATTATTAGGCATCGCACAATAAATACCATACTGGTGACCCCGACGTGATACGAGTTACGCGGAAAAAAAATATGAACAAAGACGACCCCACGACTTTTTCATCTGGCAATGAAATGTCTGACCCTACAGCTAACCCGGCACAAATGCGGGTGGACACGCTCGACCCAGGGAAGGTTAAGCTCCCAGATTTCGTCGAGGAGCATACGGACCTATGGTTCTGGCAAGTCGAGGCGGCCTTCGAAGCGGCAGACATCGTATCCGATAAAAAACGGTATTACACCATAATCGGACAACTGCCCACGCGCGTTATGTACAAGCTAGCCGACTTCCGCACAAATCCACCGGCACGAAACGAAATGTACGACAATCTTAAGGCCCGAATTATCAATGAATTCGCCGACAGCACACACACAAAATTGACAAAGCTGCTCAGCGACCTATCACTCGGCGACCGCAAGCCGTCGCAGTTGTTAGCCGAAATGCGGACCAGGGCGGCAGCTACCCCAGTAACAGACGAGCTCCTAAAGCAGTTATGGCTCCGAAATCTCCCAGAACAGATACGCGCAATACTATCCGCAGACGAGCACATAACTTTGGTAAACNGTTACGCGGAAAAAAAATATGAACAAAGACGACCCCACGACTTTTTCATCTGGCAATGAAATGTCTGACCCTACAGCTA